AACGTGAGATTCGGGTAAACAATAAGAGTACATCGAAACAGTTCATTCGTCATAATATCATCATTAGTTATTACGGTACGAGCTACGCGTTTCGCGGACCACGGTCGAGTTGTTCGGTAATCTGCACGAGGCGGCCTTCGTAGTTGTTTTACCCCGGATCTACTCCTTATTGAAGTGACATCGATTGTAACAATATATAAAATAATATTATAGTAATTTAAAACCGTAAACATCATCGATAACGACCAAAATTCACAACAGTTGCTAGCGTTTGCATTCGACGGTTTCTGCGCGACATGCATCGCGGTCTATTGCTGTTGCACTTCCACGTCCGGCGAATTCCGGACCCAGATTCCGGCGTTGCAGGTCTTCCGGCATCCAAACCAGAAGCGTTATTTGCATCAAAGAAATCAACTAAAAACGTTTTAAACCAGTCGGCTGTGGTTCTCGCGCATCGGAAACTTAAAATTGTACCCTCTTGGTCGTAAACGTCACTTCGTCATAATATAATTTTAGTTGGGACGATTGGAAGCCATACAGGATGGGAGACAAACCTGTGATGATTAGAGCGACAAAGATGTCTCGACGAAACGAAGTAGGTTGGCCAATAACTGTCGAGGTTTATGATGTTAATAATTATTACAAGAATATTACAAGAGAAATTTGCGCCGAAAATATCATATACGTATTATGTATTAATATTATTTAGATATCAATTTCGTTACTTTTGAATCGACTAAAACAAGAGACAGAATGTAACAATAAAAACCATTTATATGTACATTTTATTTGTTTGAGGTAAATTTAAAAAAAAAAAACAATAGCATTATTTATGTGACTGAAATTTGCCTTTGATAGATTATAATATTATTGTATTGATTTCATCAAGTAATTTGTACAGAATTATCTAAGATAATGCACAATATCAAAATTTATTTCCAAACTCAGTTGATGAGCACTCATCAAAGTCAAATACATACTTCTCTAATGCAGACAGAACACCAAATTATTAATTTGACATTAATTACTAGAATCTTTACAAGAAATTCTAGCACTGAAAATATAAGACAGTCAATACACCAAACAAGCTACTCAACTAACAATCAAACATCATCCGCAAATTAAATTTAATTAAAAATAAATGTAAATATATAATTGTATCGGCTAATAAACACGTAGTTAATGCCAAAAATATATTGTATAGAATAATATTAATAAAAAAAAAAAAAAACGTATTTGATGTATTTTTATTTTTGAAAAGTTCAGTCTAATTTAAATATAATTTTTTTTTAAATTAAAAATACGAAAATTACTGAGAATAAATCTTAAATTTATTTTGAAATTAGTTAAACTACTGTATTTTATTAATCACTGTTTATTAAAATTTTAAACTGCATAAATCAAATTTGACTTATATAAATAATTATTTTCCATAACCCGCGTTAAACGGCGTAGTGCAATATAATATTATAGTTTAGTGAACAATATTCTTTTTAAAATATTATTATATTATTTGGTGCTTATGTGGTTTTGATTTAGAATAATGTTAACTACTGAATTTAAATTGCCACACTATAGTTATCAAGTAGATAGTCATATCATTTAATAGGTATTATGTGACCCCCAAAATCTTTAAGCTCGGAAATCCATGATTTGTATTATAATAATTATTAATTTCTGACTAAACTTGTGTTTTGCGCTGTACAGCTTATGACTCCTAAATATGGCATATTTAAAACTAAAAATATTACACGAATTATACATTATAATGTTTTTGAATATAAAACAGAATATTATATGAGTTCAGAGTATACATATTTTAAATACGTTTTATACAATATCATAAGTATTTTTTATTGTATTAGTATAAAATCATTAATAACAATGAAGTATATTTTTTTTATTTATCACCGTGTTTTGGAAAAAATAAAACGCCAACAAAAATTGATTTTGTTTTAGTGTTGTAATTCAAAAATGAAACACTTAAAAAAAAAAAAATGAAACTATCACTAAATGTTAAAATATAATTTTATTGACATAATATAATTTTTTAAATATTTATTGATATTTGAATTTTGACGTATTTTTATACATTTTTTTATTTATCTTGAAGGAATTGTTATGTTTCAGTCAAACAGCATGCAAATTTAATTCAAAGTCTCTTATGAATTCCATTATCCAAGAATTGAAAATTGAATGCAAAGTCTCTATTAAATTTTCTCATAGTGGCTTCAAAATATAGTGAAAATGTATTGATACAACTTTTTTCATAGACATTAAATGAACAAAATGTTAATAGCATTTTTACAAGATATTTAAATAGAAAAATGATGATTCTAACTATAAATATTTAAAAATTTTAAAACTACTTTGATGTGAAATAAAATGGTTTAATAGTAGTCTTAAGCAATTTATTTATTCGTATAGCAAGTTATAAACATTTAATTATGCAATAAATTATACATATATAGTATTTAATAGCAATTATAATGAAATAACCAATAATATTTCTCATATTTTATTATACTGATATATATATATATATATAATAATAACATTTTTTACCAAGTTAAAGTAAATTTTCACTGCTTTTTTTAATCAGTTTGTATAAATACAAATTCGTGTTGACACTTAGCTCCTTTAAAAATATTGTCTTATGATTAGTTGTTTATATTCTTTAAATATCTCTGTTTTTAATTTGCATGTAAATATTATTAAATTAAACTAATTATAAATAATGAATATTTTATTTTCTATAGAATACAACATAATATTAATGTTCTATATTTAAAAATATCAAAGGATCAAATGTTGAGAGCAATAGAAACAATAATTATTACATGGGTATTGGGTACACAAATTATTAACATTATTTTTTATTTGTCTAAAATGTATATCAAACAATTGATATTGAATCAATAAAATAATAATATCAGTTGTATATTTTAGTAAAAAAGCTATTTAGAGATTATCATAATGGTCTATAAATAATATTAATTATAAACAATGTAAGACATAATTATAATTTTAACAATAAATAAACAAAATAGGCTTTTTTTTCTGTTATAGTTATTTACAATTTTTAACTTCTATGTATATAGTTTTTAATGTATGCGATATGATAAATCGTACACATATTTCTTCTACATCATTTTGATATATAAGTTAAACATTTCACGTTGTAATATATTTTATGTTATAACAAATTCAAGGAAATTTTGTTGTACAAAAGATAAATGAAAAGTGTATTCTTCAGTGGCGTCTGATTTCAACGATTTATGTTTATTTTATAAATTTATCGTAAATAATAAAGACAAATCGTTGTAGTATCAATAATTATACTTATGTTTCAAAGAAAACAGATAATTAATTTTAACTTTTTTGATTCATATACTCATCTACTCATCTTGCTTCATGTAGTATTTTATTTTATTTTTTACTTTATTTTTATATACTCGATTTATAATCATTATTTAAAGTCTTTCAAAGTGATCGCTTGTCGAATTTAATTGTTTATTGATTTTATCGTTTTCCCCTTAAATGGGTCACATGAACCAAAAATGTAACCACGTTAAATGCAATTAACTGTGATTTATGGGGCTCAAGAACTTTTACATGAAACTTTTTATTGTATCATTTTACATTTTCACCCTGTTTGTCGATCTGAAGTAGTTCTATCTGCTTGACTGCACATAATCTTAACTACAAAAATATTTTGAACACGTATTTCTAACTATTCTTAAACCCAATGATCAACTAAAGTTTATTTATTTCAGTCCTTAAATCGTATAAATAAATTGTAAATTTTGAAAGATATATTGTGTATGTTATAATTATTATTCGCTTTACAATCTAAACAAAGCAAACATGGAATCTATTGATTTTGTAATTATGTTTTTTTTTTTTTTAGTTTTTTTTTGAGGGGTAAAAGTATACTTTTAAACTTTACTTTTACTTTTTTGTAGATCGTTATATAGAAATTGGTATTGCTTACTATACTGATGACTGAGACCTCATGTTAGATATTCATCTTACTTGGCTCACTATAGTGTTTGTAGGTAGAGTGTTTGTCATGGATCAATAATACACGTGCATTTGGAAAATAATATAAAAATGTAATAATAATAACATTTGAATCTACTTTAGTTTGTAGGTTGAATCTGAACTCTTCTTTAAATATTTTTGATCGTTTTAAGTAATTTTCTTTTGCATTTAAAGATATTATTAAAATATCAAAACTTCAAATTATCAAATAATAATCATATTTTGTTTAAAAAGTGTTCCCGCAAAATAATAATAACATCACTGGGAATCTTATTTCATTCGAAATACGTTATAAATTTTCACTCGGAACATAATGTATAGCTCAAATAGTAAATATTCACCAATAAATGTTTTTGAATAAATAGTGGTTGAGTATTATAGTAGTTGTCCAGTTAAACATTATTAAATCAAAAAAGCAAAATACCTAAGTATGAACGATAAAAATATTAAAAAATCGACAAAATTACAATTATTGTTATTATAAATTTAATTTTTTTATAATTTTTAAACATTATACGGTATAATGTATAGAGCAACAACTTTTAAAAGTGAAAACATACATATAAATTATAGACATTTATTTATACATTAATAATTATACTGCACGGAATGCCCTTGAGTCGTGTGAAGATGTTTGGTGACATTTTAACAATTATAACACGATGTTTATTGGACAGAAATAATTATGATGTATAATATACCTGCACTTGAAGGACGTTTAATAATAAAAATGACTGTACAGTGTTTGTAGATATAGGTATTGCTTGATACATAGGCATGTATAAATATAATTAATTTAAAAATTTAATTGAAGATAAGTGGCACTTAAGTAATGCGTTACTAATCTATATTATACGATTACACGAGTATACACAATTTAATACGAGTCAACTTAACGGTCGACAGACGTCCAACAGACGTTGGTTCGAACAGTAAAATAAATTTCGCATGTCCGTTTTCTTGCCGAAACGAAAATGTTTGAATTCGTCTACGAACTGTTCGATCTGAAAATGCTATTGGTCACCGCGTTTTTCGGGGCCATATACGTGTACTCTACCTGGACCCACAGCCACTGGTCAAAACTGGGCATATCCAGTCCGTCGGCGCCGGTGCCGTTGTTCGGGCACGCGATGCCCTCCATGTTGGGCCGAATGCACTTCATGGACGTGCTGCACGACCTTTATCGGCAGCTGGGCGACCAGCGGTTTGGCGGCATTTATACGATGCGAACACCGCAGCTGCTCGTCAAAGACCCAGAACTAATAGGTAACGTACAACGAACGTAACTCGTGCGAAACTACTTTATTATATGATCGATCGGTGATTGTAATTTTGAATTTATTAGATCGCATATGGGTACTTAAAATTTAAAATCGACACATTTTAGTAGACACACACTAATTGAATTTTATAATATTCGACGATCGAGATGACGCTATTGGAGTATGACAGAAAAAAAACTAGCCAGCGAGATTATTATTGATCGGTGATTAAAAATGCGACCACTTTCCATGATCGATTTGGTTTAGCTTTATTTTCAAAAACTATAAAGTATATTTTTTATTGTTATTAAGATAATGGCCTTTAACTGTTATATTTTTCCATCCGATCATCGTGTTGATCGACATAAGTGTCGATGTTTTTTATTTTCTGTATTATAATAAATTGTTTCGTGGAAACAAAAAAAAATGATAATGTTTGTCATTAAACTTAGTACTGGTATTTATTTATTTGAATACGCTTCATAATAATTAATAGCTATATCACTTAATCAGCATTAATCGTTATCAAACTTAAAAGGTTGATTGTAAATGTTTTCATTTGTGTACCTTGTGTACACACACACACACACACACACACACACACACACACACACACACACACATGGATTAGTAGGTAGTGTATGCATTTTTTTTTGATTATATAATGAATATTAATGAAATATTTTTTACTATATATATTATTACAGTTTCTGAACTACTAATTTTTACTTTTAATAATATTAAAAAAAAAAAAACCTATAAATATTATATAACTGTTAAGGTGAGTGAGCTAAGAGATGGATGCATAAAACAAGGACTTTGAATCCAACTTAAATTTTATTCTGTTATTTTTACATTGAGTTTTGACCTATAGTAAAATGATGTTGGTTAGTTATATGAGAAATAGTTTTTGAAGATTATCACTGTTGGTAAGACTATTAATTACGTAATATTTTAATAATCTCATTAGAATACACATAAAACTATTATTTAAAATGGAAGTAAATTGATACATTAATTAATATTATAAATATTTTTAATGGTAAGAAAATTATTTTACATCAAAATAATCAATTTTAACTTACATGTAATCTCATTAATATAATGACTTATAAATTCTTAGATTCTTATTAGGTGTATTATTTATATAACGTTAAATAATAACTACGTTGTAACACATTATTTTTGTATTTTGTCTTATCAGTTATTATATAATATTAATATACATTTTTAAAAGTGTTATACTATTTAAACTGTGTTTATCCAATCTTTGATTATTAACTAATAATTCAATTTTTTAAATTTCTAATTGTGTTTAAACAAAAAAAAAAATGGTGAAAAAATAGTGTAATGGATAATTAATTAATTTTTAAATAAATATTTCATATAATTTTTAAGTTATTCAGAACTAAATAATATATAATTAGTTTTTAATTTTTTGCTGTTAATCAATAAGTCTTATTTACTAATAATCCCACGAGGTAGTCGTCATCTAAGGTATTCATATCATAATTCAGCAATTAATAGATGTTTCATAACTGTTGCAAAATCTGAACTGTTTTCATAAATTATTGTTCCATCAATAATTATTGTTTACTAATTTATAATCATGTTTATTACAATGGCCAGTCATGTAAACTGTTTATAAAAATATTGTTTATTTTTATTTTGTAAACATAATTATAAGTGTAAAAAAAAAAAGTAACTTGTCATTCTCATCTCAAAAAAAAAAAAAAAAAAGAAAATAGTTAGCTATTCCTGATATTATATAAACTAGAAATATAGGAAATTATGAACTTTATTTTTTATCTGTATTTTTGAATATTTGCAAAACCAACTATAAAAAACCAACGATAGAGTTTAAATAAAATCTTCACTGCCTTCATTCTTAGTTAAGCCATACCTACACATCATTAAATCGAAAGTTCTTTTAACTCACTGATGAACGACTTAATTTAGAACATAACTTTTTTTTTAACAAGTCTTTTCAATTTTTGTTTTCTTTCGTTTCTAATATTTAGGACACATATTGATTAAAGACTTCAACAACTTCACAGACCGCGGATTATACGCCGGCACGCACACGAATCCGCTTAACAATAATATATTTTTCACGCGGGGCGAACGATGGAAAACAATGCGGCAAAAGCTCACTCCCACGTTTACGGCAAACAAACTGAAATACATGAACGATCAGGTAAAGGAGTGCAGCGACAGTCTGCTGTTGACCATTGGCAAGACCCTGAACGAGGACGCCGGCCGGATTGAAATCCGTGAAATGATGGCCAAATACTCGACCGACGTGATCGGCAGCTGCGCGTTCGGCCTAAAGCTAGACGCCATCAATGACCCGGACTCGGAGTTCCGGAAACACGGTAAAAACGTTTTCCAGCCATCTCTGAGGTCCAAGATACGAGTGGCGATCATATTCATGCAGCCGTCCTTGCTGAGCATATTCCGCGTGCATCACTACTCGCATCGCACCATCCGATTCTTCCACGACGCGTTTCGACAGACGATCGAATACCGAGAGAAACACAACGAAGACCGCAAAGACTTTGTACAGCATCTGATGAAGGCCAGAGAAGATCTGGTGTTGAACCCGAATCTAAAACCCGAAGGTAGGTAATTAATGAGAAAATCGCAAACAGTTAATTATGTACTTATCTTATACCATCGGTTTTGCCTAACCAATCTACCTTTGTCGATCGCCTTAGCGACAAATAATAAGAACATTATTATCTGACCAAATATAATCACGTCGTGTCGTAAATGTACCTACTATAAATGCTAAGTTTGGGAGATGAACAAAAATATACCCGCAACAACAAAGCCATTACTGTCTTTACTCGTTTGATGTAAGATACCTTAGTGAAAATGATAATACTGTATTAGAATTATTATACATAGTTCTCGAAAAAGTAGTATCGTTGCATTTTTAATCTACCTATTTTGTTTATTACTTATTTAAATTAAATTCTTAAACAGATTTAAATAATTTTCTCAAAAAAATGTTATAATATATTATTCATATAAACAATTTTTTTTGGTTTTTTTTTTTTTTTAGAAAAATTTACTGAAATGGATATTGTGGCAAATGCGTATATTCTATTTATCGCTGGTTTCGAGACTGTATCTACATCAATGAGTTTTTGCCTATACGAGTTAGCATTAAGAAAAGATGTCCAAGATAAAGTTCGAAAAGAAATATTGGAAATTAAATCGAAGTATAATGGACAAATGAATAGTGAATGTCTTAACGAACTTCATTATTTGGGCATGGTGATTAAAGGTAAGAATTATTTTAAAACCGAAGAGAAATTATTAATTCAAGAGTTATATTGAATTTAAATTTTATTTTTATGTAGGTAGGTGTTATAAATATTAATTATACATCTTTTTATGTTTATTTTCTTTTCAATTTTTTTTTTTGCGATTTATATCTTGAAGTAGTAATAATTATTTTCATCATTTTTTTTTATTTTTGAAAATTTAATGAAATAGTTCATAACTAAAACAATAGCACTTAAATAATATTTTGTAATTGGTTTATTATATTTTACTGCATTACCATCTATTTGTAAATTATGCAAAAACACAATAATTATTTAGATATATAAAAAGATCATGAAAAAATTATTTAAACAATTTTAAATTATTTGTTTTATATTTTCAAAGAAGTTTTTTTTATAAATTCTACATACTTGAATAATAATAATAATAAAAAAAAAAAATGAGTATCTATATGTTTGATTATAATTACCTGTCAAAAATTTTGACAAATATTAGGTTCATATCAAATAGCTCATAAATTTTAACCTTCATGGTTGGCATGATATGTAAAGGTAATATAATTATAATTATTTTGTATTATTATTTTACATGTTATCACTTTTAATACGATATTAATTATTATATCAATAAAGTTTTAAGAAAATAAAATGGTTAAGTTATTTTAATTTGATATAAAAAGTACATCAAAATATTAATTACACATCTATAGTAATTATGCATTTTAATCAACATATTTGTTGACAGTAAAAAAATCTAATTTATAGGATAGACAATCATTTAAGACATGTGAAACCACTATATGACAATATTAGTTACACAGTGAATCATTTAATATATATAATGCAGGCAGTGTTGGGAAAATACTTAGATTAAATAATGATTAAAACTAATAAAGATAACAATTTTATTTAAAACCAATAATTTCAATACATATAAATTAATTTTCAATAAAAAAAGGTTTAAGATTATATACTATTATTTACTGATGTTAAAATAAAATAAAAAACCAATCTATGAAATTAATTATGAATAATGATGTGAGGTGTAGTTTAAAAAACTCCTGTAAAATATTTCTAAGACCAAAAATTTGTTCATACTAATTTTTTAGAAAATTATAATTTTCTCACATACTGTTCAAGTTTTTCCATGTCTAATTTTATATATAGTCATTAATTATTTGAATATTTTATATGAAAATAAAATAACATAAGACAAAGAAAACTTTTTGATGATTCCAAAAATGTTAATAATAATATAATACTTTTAATTTAAGTATACAGCTTAAATGAGCTTAAATGTCAGTTGCCAGTGAAGATATTACATTTTAGACTTATGTGAAGTAAAATACAAATCCTCCTGTAGGTATTGTCGTATTTATATAAATTAACTTTTTAAAGTTATGTGATATCCCCATTTCCAATGAATAAGTGAATATTTTCGTTATATATTTTAATCTCAAAAACGTTCTTTGAGGAATATTGTTTGTGGAATATTACTAACCATTAATAATGATTAAAATATAATCATTAATTTTAGTTCGCTTCATTTTAAATTATTATTATATTTATTGAAATTTGTGAATTTTAAATTATATATACCTACTTATCATCTTTATAAACTTAAATTATTGATTTGTTTTTCTCGACATTGTCTGCAGCTGGTCACAAATATAATCGACACTAAAAAACCCCAAATAACATATAATATCAAATTACCAGATCACCGTAATGTAAATAGTAAGAAAAATGAAAAATATTTGAATTTGTACAATAAAAAACATATCTATTGAGAACAGTAAAGGAAAAAAAAATAAGTTTCTGTGACTATAAACTTGGTATTTCAAGTTAAAATTGAGTATTATCTATTATTCTGATGAAAAAGAATATGAAGTAAATTGTTAAAAAATAAATAAAAAATACATATTATTAATCAATTGATTAAAATTATATAAATATTTGAAATAAAGTTAAAATAATAGATATGTCTTATATAAGTTTGATCTTCACAAATTAAATAATAATGTAATTCTTTTTATTGAAATAATATTTTTTCAAGTTTGTGTTGATAGAGCGCACCATATATATGGCAGTAAAGTGGTAAAAAACAAATTTTTGGTGTTTATATAATTGTGGATTTATGTGAACTAATCATAATATTAAAAATATTTATTTAATTTTGAATTAATTCAGGAAGTTATAATGTAAAAATTAATTATATTTGTTACTGAATGCATGGTAAAAACAATTATATATGTAACAAACTTTATGAATACTAATATATTATAATAACGGTAAAACGTATTAAGCAATATTTTAAGGTTTAATATAATAATATTCCTTTTCAAAACGTCTTTCAAAAAATGTTTTTCAACGGGATTATGGCAGCTCACAGATACGTTAACTTATATTTTATTTTAATCGTTTCTTTTTATTTTTCAGAAACATTGAGAAAATATCCTCCATTAGTGACATTAAATCGAGTTGTGACTAAGCCTTATGTAATACCTGGAACACAGATTAAGTTAAAAACTGGTTCTAAAATTGTTATTCCAGTACACGCCATTCACTACGATCCAAAATACTACTCTAACCCAGAAGCTTTTGATCCGGATCGTTTTTCAGACGAAAACATACATAATTTACACCCTAATACATATATGCCGTTCGGAGATGGTCCTAGATTTTGTATTGGTACGTATTATGTGGTTTCATATATTTTTCAAAGATGTTTCTAATGCATAAAAATGCATACAAATTGTATTCATTCAATGTTTATAATGGTGTGTTTATGAATTTCAGGCAAAAGATTTGCCGAATTCGAAATGAAAATGGCCTTGTCTGAAGTGTTAACTAACTATGAAGTGATGTCATGTGATAAAACCCAAATTCCTATAAAATATGTTATTGGAAGTTTTGTAAATATACCTGAAAGCATTTGGTTAAAATTTAGAAAATTAAATACTTAATTTTAATATAATATTGCTTGTATAAATAGGTATTTGTTTATTTTGTATATTGTGTAATTCTGTGACAAAATCTTCTGTATAAGAAAAAAATAAATTTTATTGAAAATTCTAATTTTATGATAAATCTATTTAAAAAGATTGAATAACATATATTATGTATTTAATAGAACTAATATTATATATATTCCGAATCCGAACTTCAAGAATTGAAATTCCAGCCATCCATTATGAATATGGAAAAAATTAATAAATATTAAATTTAAATGTCAGATAAAGGCATAGATTATGGAAATTGATAAGTAATACAAAAGAAAAAAAATGATTTATTGATTTAGTATTTAAGTTTTAAGTTTTAAGTTTAAGCTATATTGACAATCTCATAAATATCGGTTTATTTCTATTCGCGTTAAGGTCGATGAATAATTACGCAGATAGATGTCATGTTGATTATTAACTGTCTATAATTATTCGATTATATTTAAATAGTTATAATAACAAGTATAAAGGAATTAATTAATTTATTATTATTTTATTTGATATATAAATATATACAGACAAAAGTCTTATTGCAATTCATGATTTTGTGATACATAATATAGATTACAGTACATAAAAGTTACATTGTTTAGTTCTTAGTTCTTTATAATAATATAGTATTTTAACTTAAAGACAATGAAATACTAGTACATATATAAATAAATACAATAAATATAATCAAAATTTAAAATATAATTTTTGTTAAATGAGATTGGATAAAATGACAAGGAATTTATCGTATTAAGGTTGTTTATTCTAATTATAATTAAGAATAACATTTTTGAGCAGTCAATGATTCCTACCAGTTAACAGTTTGTGTCAATATTTTGAGAACATGATTGAGCGACGTTCATGAAGTGAAGTAATATACAGAAATCTTTAAACGATATCGTATGAAGTATGGGGTGGTATATGAATATTGAATTTAAAGGAACTAAATCGTAAACAATTATTTTAGTTGATTGAGTCTATCATATTGTTTTGTTTTGATGTATTAATTAACCAGACTAAAGGGCAATATTTCAGGTTGAAACGAATATGAAATAATGATTTCCAAGTAGTGTTAAGACTCCTTGTTTTATTTAACCATTTTAAAATATTTGCCACACCGCGTTTTTTAATATTCTGTATCAGATATCGAACTTTAGAATCTATCAAATGAGTAGGTATGACTCATACGAACAATGTACACAAGTAATAAGTGCCTATTGGGACTTAACATTTTATAATGCTTTTAATTCTTTTTTTTTATATTCAAAGGCATTATTTTCGGGGCAATTAGCAAACATTTGCAACATAAATATATTTTTATTTTGACTTCATCTGACTTATAAAATTTCAGTTTATGGTCATATTACATTGTGTTAGGTATTATACTTATATTTTAAAATGGTAGTAATGTAATAGTATTATATCTTGGTATCGATATCAGTGATGCTTTTAAAAATGTCGTGTATAAGAAGGGTGTTTGTTACCCTAACTGCATCTGCTCCTTCCATTATGGATGGATTGTTTAAGTTGTGCCTTGACGTTGAGAATTTACATTACCTACATACTTTTAATACGTCCTTTAATAACAATTAGCATAATATTTGTATTAAAGGAGACATTTGAAGTATGTTACTATAAAAATAATAATAATTATTTTTACTTTAACAAGTGGTTACACAGTATTAGCATAGATTGATTAACTTATTTGGAGAAGATGAATGTGTGGTTATATTTTTCCATTAGGTTTATTAGTTTTTCTTTTTAAAAAGTTTAAAATATACCTTAAACTAAAAAAAAATAGAATTAACTAGTTTTAATATATTCCCAAGTATATTAAATGGTTAAATAAAATATATAATTAATATTCCTTTATTATACGAAAAATTATAAATAAATTACATGAGCATATATTTGTAATTATTAATCATATTACAGTTTTAGTCTTGCCTGTTGACTGTTGATTGAGTTTATTTATATTTTAGATGAATAAACTTTCAAGCCTTTTCTTTGATAATAAGTGTTACCTGATAATAATCGAGGACTAAACATTATATTATTGTGTACTTATCATATTAATTGGAATGATCAATTTTTGATTGTCATAATTTGCAGATAAATAATGTAAACTACAAACTCCAGTCTAATCGTAAAAATTGTTTTATTTTTAATTAAAACAAAAATATAATTATCAAAAAAAATGATCCACAAAAAATTTAATTGAATACAACAATGGTATTTGATGATATTTTATATAAATGAAAATTATTCCATTATTATGTATTGTTTAGATTTAGATTAATTTATAATATCATATTATAATGGTTTATACCATTGAATACAATTTTAATTTAATGCAAACAAAAATATATTATAAATATATGATTGTGATTCGTTTTAATTTGGTTGAGTACAATAAGTACAATAAAATATTAGTTGATTAGATCATTTAAATATAAATTAATATTTTATAATAACGAGTGTATTGTTCTATATTATTAATAAAAATAAGTTAAATCCGTTAAGCCATCATATAGCCTATATAGGTCTAAATTGTATAATTTTATTATTCCTTGTTAAATACTAATTAACTTTGTGAATCAGATATTATAGGAATAGTACTATTAATATAGAAGAGGTTTTCACCTTTTACCCATTACGTAAAAATATTGTTATATAGAAATTTACAGAAAGCACATGATTGCGCCACTGCTTAACTTAGTATTCATCCTCATATGAGCACAACCGTGTGCAGAATTTCAAAGTAGAAAATGATTAATCTAAAAGTTTCAGCCTATTATGTTTTTCTTTACTCTTTTAACGAATTGGCTTGCTAGTTAAAAAAAAAAGTTTGTTTTTTTACCAAAAAGAAATTTTATCCGATTGGAAAGTAAAATACTTATTAGAATGAAATTATCTTATGAAACGAAAAGGGGAAAATTAGACGTCCGTAGCTGTGGAATTGCATTACGACAGCGTACAACTATAGAAACGAATGCCTTTACGATAACTTGCTTTTTGAAAGTATTTAGTCGTCGGAAGTTCTATGTCACGCAGTTTTGATTATTAACGTAATTAATGTTGACACGCCATTAACGTCAATGAACGATTATATCACACTTTTCTGAAAATACTGGTATCTGGCAGTACAAATTCACTTTCAATGTATTTTATTAAATTTCTCTAAGAGTACATATACTTGAACATTTTTTTTTTATTATTCCTTTTACGGTTTTTCATTTCGTTACTTAACCATTATTAAGTTATACTAAGTGTGGTACCTATATTCGAAGAGCTTTTATTCACGCCAACGAATAATTAAATTGAATTATTTTCATTAATTGTAAATTAAAATCAAAATCCATAACACAAAATTATATGTCCATTATATTATATTTTGTATTTATTTTGCATATAATAAAACATTTATGACCAGACGAAATATGTTAAAACTAAAATAACTTTATTGAAAAAAATAAATATTATCTAGTATTCTACAGAAATATACTTAATGTACCTATATCACTGTAAGGTTTTGAACTTACATTTGTGTACGTTATTAACTATTAATAAGTCGAGAGAGGAGACAATTTAATAAAATCTAATTTTAGTACATGATTTAAAAATATATGTTTGCTAATCGATATACATTATACTACATAAATTTACGAGTGTTCAAACATTAAGTATTTTTTTTGTAAGAAAATAACATTATTTTCTAATTTTAACTCAACGATTTCTATTTTATCTTTATTCTTATATTATAATGGATGTGTTTAAATACAATTATTTATATTGCCCAATAACCTGAACAAAAAATAAACAAAATATTATTGTGTTATGAAATTATTTTATAAAATTACTACGATATAGAAATGAGCTGCAAAAAAACTTATACAACTCGTGAAACTAATTCAACTTGAAATCATAACCCAAGATGTAATCGAATAGCTACACAGGGAGAAGAGATGAAAATATGAACTTTCCAATCAACTTTTTGTATATGGTGTTAATAATCGAACTTTGCTCACGTATTTCGATTTCGTCTTGTTACGTTTATTATTGAATCAACGTAACTAGGGACAAAAGATTTGGAAGCTATATGGTAGAGTAAAGAAATGGGAGGTTGAAAAAATCCATTATTTGGTTCGTTGTTTTCATTTCTTCTTTATTGGGTCGTAACACCCGATAGCTTTGGCGAGGAGAAAGTAAAACTGCCAAATTATTGCGTTTCTATATTGTTCACACCGGGGGATTTTCAATCACAAAAACAACGCCACCTCTCTTCGTTATCCTCTTAAATAGGTTCAATCCATATATATATATGTATACATATATATATGTATATACAACCGTATAGATGTCCTACCCTTAAACAATAAAAGCGGGCGAGAGGTACATAACATTAATGATATCCATTACGCGGACAAAACAGTCAAAACACCAACAACTCACTGTTATATAGTATCTTGTTTATTACCATTCATCCAACGTTGACCTTTCAATTGGACACTATTACTAATGTAGAATATAAAACTGATAAATTACTACACGATATTTCAGTTAGACGAAACTGTAAGTTTACACATTATTATAATATGACTTACGAATAAATCGTTAACAGCTACTAACTTATAGAAGACAAGACATTAAGCTATAATAGCGTTTTGCACAAAGTTTTAAAATAAATTTCACATAATATCTTTTTTAATTTACATGTTGCTTAAGAATCTTGAGGCAGACGGTCTTAATGAAAGTATTATGTGGTTGTTAGTATAGACCCTATATTTTATTATTAATTTATGTTCATAAAAATATGTTTAATAAGCAATTTAAAAACAAATTAAAGAAGTAAAGGTAAATATTTTAAATTATAATTCTTTTTTAAAATTATAAATAAAGAACACTGACAATTTAGGTAGGTAAATACCTACTTGTATATCACCACTCAATTATAAACTTAT